CCTGTGTGGCCCGGACAAAGCCCCCCCCGCCGCGGCCGCTATTGTGACGTTAGAATTTTCGAACACGCGCACAGGGTGTGCCACGCCTTCTCCGCCCTTCCCTCAGGCGCTGCTTTCTGCTTGGGTCCAGGCAACCTTGTACTGGCTCCTCCCCCGCCTGTCTTTCATGCTGCTCCTTCCTCATTGCTGCTCCACTTCCTGTGCACTGCTCCTGCCCCCCTGCCCTTGCTATTGCCCCCTCCCCTGCAATCCCTTCCTCTCCCTCCACCCTGCTCCCTCTTTTTTCCCTTCTGCTCCTTTTCTGGGATGGGTTTCATAACAGAAGGAAGGGGGGTGTTGAGACAGCTCTCAATCCCCCCTATCTGGCACTGGGATTTCCATTAAAATTGACATTCCCAGAGGGCATTGGATCAGCTTTGCAGTGGTTATTGATTGGGAATCTCTTAAAAATCAACTACGATTCAAATCTCATCTGGAGCACGTTAGATTTAAATGCCCTATGTGAGTCAGCTCACCTTTTTACCTTTCTAGGATAGATAAATTCAGGACCATGTGTGTGTCTTTCACTTAAGTCCATGAAGACAGGTTCTGGGTAAAACTTTCAAAAACATCCCTGTGACCTAGGCCCCAGATTCTCCTGGCATTTAGGCTCTGATTGATCTTGGTGGAGAGTAAGTATCTGGGTTTAGGAGTCTAAATCCCATTTTCAAAGGGGATTTGGGCACTTCACAGACAGGCTCCTGAGTGAAATTTTTACTTCCTGTCTGTTAGTAATCATCAAAGGGGCGGGAATGTGTCTTGATTTCCTGCCCAAAAATTTACCCTCCCTTGTTACAAGAGTGTATGGTAGATCCATTGGTTGCTACTTTCCATCCCAGCAGTGGTTGTAGTTTCACAGTACTGTACTTCTACAATTCTTTATGCTGAAAAATGCAGTAAAAGTGTGATGCAGCTATGATGGTCAAAAGGCTGCTGTATTGAAAGTTAACAATGTTATTGAGCCAACCATACAAGGGCTAGTGAACAGAAATATTTTGCTGCTACTTAACTTTCCCTCTAAAGTGTATGATTTGAACCTTGTAATTTTGTTGTTTAATCTTATATCATGTCCCTCCAAACAGCAGCGCCCCGCACCCCTTTGCATGTTATGGAAAACTCTCCTTTTCCCAGGGCTTCCAGTTGTCCTGCCACAACTAAACCCTGACCTTGCTTTAAGTTAGGAGAAGAAGCAACACACCAAATTTGGTGGCCCTAGCTTGTACAGTGTAGGAGGAGTTCTTGAACAAACAGATTTACTAACTGAGGGAGGGAGAGAGACAGACGGACAAAAATGTAGTTGGGGGAGGTATAAGGCTAAGCCAAATATAATCTTTGACTTCATTGAGAGTTGCAGTGGCTCATCTCATCTCAGAATTTAGCTCACCTGTTGTGAAACTAAATGTAACAGGGACAGTCTTCTCTTTTATTACATAAGGCAGGAGTGGGGAATCTTTTTGGGGTCAGCAGCTGCTGACCCACAGAAAAATCAGGCCGGGGCCGCATACAAGTGAGAAGCAAAAAACAACAATAACAAAACAAAAACCCTTCATTAATGTGGCCCCTGACTGAGAAGGAGAACGACACTCCCCACATTCCCCTTGCACACCCGGAACCTAGGGGGTCCCAGGCTAGTAGATTCTGTGTGCTCCAGCCCCACGGTTGGGTGGCAGGGGGATCAGAGCTCCAGCACATGCTCCCCAATGATGGGGTGGAGACCTGAACCTCAGGGGCCGCATCCAGGCAAGCGGGGCCACATCCAGCCCCAGGCCTGAGGTTCCCCACCCTTGACATAAGGGGACAGATTGTAATGAAAGTCAGCATGAGCTAACATAGGCTCAATTGCCACTAACAAAGTTTGCCAGATTCCATTGACTTTAATAAGAGTAGAGTCACTCACACACACAGACCCAAAATGAGGTAACACATCACATTTTTGGCACATACTGAAGAAAGGAAATTCTAAATCAAGGCTGACACTATGGGCCAAATTACTCTTTGGTGTAATTCCACTCAAATTGATGGAGTTACACCAGGGATTAACATCTCTTAAAGCAATCCTGTTTATGCTTATATTTCAACACACATGCTATGTGTGTCAAAACTGTCACCTCCATGGAGTTGCCTGACAGTTATAACAAGGCAGATGAAGGGAAGTGGAGAACAGTATCTAAAGGATGTTATGCAAGACACTTCTTATAACTTTAACTTTTTTTTTCTTTTTGTTGTCTTGACGGTGAAATCTGTTTTCTTAGTGATTTTTTTTTCTCCTGGTGCACTGACTTGTTATTGTAGGGCTGCTTGCATAAGACTGGATTACTGTAACTGATTTTTTTGTTGGTGGTGGTAGGCTTTGTTCCTAGAAAAAAATAAAGGGGGGGGAGTCACAAATATAC